ACTTAATCAGCCAGACGGTGGGACTTCTGGCATGGCCTACTCTTAGCTGGGCATCCGGAGAACCGGAAACATAAAACAAGTAAATTTACCTATGGCGCAATCCCACTAGAAGGCAGCCCAAGAATTTGGTTGATTTTAGGTTTAGATGTCGGTTGAGACGGCAACTTCTCCTCAAGGAAATATAAGGGGGCGTATAATTGAATATTAGGAAAGTGTTCTGATTAAAACTTTATTTTTAGAAAAAGCTGTTCACAACCACTTTTTGGAAGAAAGAACGCTAGTTATGCATACATATAGATTTTCCAGTATGTAGTTTCGTTAGTTAAACATGAGATTTTATAACTTTATTATGGCGGTCCAACGTTTCGATAAATCACCTGCGCCAGAAACTTCTCCTCCATCCAGCACTGATTAGATATCAATCATTTCTACTGGTGCTAAACACGTATCGAAAGCCAAACCACCACTAACAATGGCAAGGAAAGGTCTCATATCTGACCAACTATCAGCACTATGTACTTGGTGTTTTACTACCCAGGTGAGGTTTGGAACATAGGAAGTATGGAAATATTTCTAAAAAGCCAGTACTTTTCTGACAAACAAATGTGCCTTTTTTCATTCCGCTGATACGATATTGCTGCAGTCATACCAACGATGCGATTGCCAACTGGGGAAGGGTTCTTAAACCTCGCCCACTTGAAACTGTTCCATGCGATTATGAAGAGCCGTCGCTGGTAGAAATAATGCGGGTTTGGTCAACGTACACTAAACCATTTTGGTACAAGACTTCGCTTTTTGTTCCTTCAGTCATCTCCGTAAAAGCAAGATTTTGGTAAGCTGGAGTACCAACAATTAAAATTAGCAGCGGACAATATCTAGAGACATAGAAGCTTCATAGAACGATATGATTATAGTTTCTCAAGTAGTTGAGCAGTGTCAATAACTCTGCTTTTCTCAGGCAGCATGCACAACTAGAAGACAACATCTTGAGAACATAGCTTCTTAGATTTATCATCTAAAACAAAAAAATTTGTTCGAGTTGGTGTCAACCAAGTTGTATCGAGAGTGAGACAATATCATTGACACCAAAACTGACTAGATTTGTAGACAAGAGAGCATCTAACATTTTTTTAAACCACTGTTAAAAGAACAGGTCTTTTTATATGAATGTTTTCTTATTCTTCTCCGAATTCTTCTTCCCGATCAATTCCATCCCAGAACGTTCGAGGTGACAAGGATGTTGGTGTCGTTTTTATTCCAAAGTCATTCACATGCCGCAAATGTTCTGGTCCACAGGTTGCTCGTCTGCCACCTCAGATATTACGAAAGGTCAGAAATATTCAGTTTAATGCAGAGTAAACTCTTGAAACTGAACATCACCAACAAATAGCTATAGGTTGGACTGCAAACAACGGAAAAATCAATCACGGACAAAGAAATAGAGGATGCTGATTGTTATGCTATTGGTTGGGGAATCACAAAAGGTGCGTTTTACTAATTGGCAGTAAAATCTTACTTGAGCAAATTGGTGACCTTGCTTAACAAGTAAAAAGAAGCTCTTGAAAATGTTCAGAATGTATGGTTAATACATGACTACCACTCGGCGTCTTTTCCTCAGTTTTTGCTTTCGAGAACTCCTGTCATGTTTGACTTCTTTCCTAAAATTATTTTCCTATATGTAATTATCCATGGTAGTAAATTGTACTTTTTCCATCATATTTTGTTATTCCATTCCAAAGACGGAAGAGTAGGCTCAGTCAAGAAATTAGTAACGAACTTTGTAGTAGAGAACGAAACAGCACAGAAGAGATTGCTGGATTCAGTCCATCACCGCAAGCAAAAACCAGAAAGAGGATGAACAGAGCTTCAGCATCAGACAACTGTGTCACCCATAAAAGCCTAACAATCCAATGTTTCCGAAGACTCTCAGTATTCATGATGGCCTAATCGGAAATCAGTAACTTGTGCAAGTGAGCCAAACAGGGCCTACGTTGACTCCTACCTCAAGAGAATCGATCACCCCAATTTACACTTTTTTT